GTGTGTGTGTATTTCTTATTTCTATTTTTCTGACTTCCTGAATGTAGTCCCCAATATATTGACTGTTTAAAGTAGTTTAAGTGTATATTCTTGGTAGATTTACAGTACCTCCTTGTATTCAAATTTACTTTGTATTTTGTATTTTCTTTTTCTGTATGTATTTTATTTGTGTATGTTTCTTAACGTATGGATGCACCACGCATTTTGTATGAGTGCCACTATATATCAAAGTGGATCCAATAAATTTAATTGAATATGCCCAGATTTCCCGACCCCAACCCTCCCCCCACCAAAAAGTACATAAAACACCGGTAACATTTTCATATACAGTATAGGCCTATTTAGATCTTATATTATTCTGTCACTATAAATAACGATTGATACTTATTTATATAATCATTGATTTAATCTCTTCTTGACTACTCAGTAATCGGGATCCGCCAGCTCCGCCCTCCCAGCGCAGTTTTATTTATTAAAATTCCTAGCATTAGGTGTTTTACCTTTATCTATGGACGTATGTCTATTATGAAGTGACATTTAAAGATTCAGGATATAGTTAGCACAGCGAAATAGATAAAAAAAAATCGTTTCCTGTTACGTTGGGCTATGTATACAGGCCTATTATAATACCTTGCTTGTACCGTTCTTTGTGATAATATATGATTCACTGAACGGTCTATTCAAAATATAGCTTTTATGATTTACTGATTGACAATTTGTTTGGTATCGGCCTAACCCATCGGTTAATATTAAATGGTGCGTGCTTTAAGAGTAGTAAATCCAGAAAAGGCCTCAAAACTACAATTAATAAACAATAGGCCTACATTGTTTAATTACAAGTATAAATTGAGTTATCCACTTCCAATTAGAAACATCAGAAATATTTGCTGATATACAGAAAATGCATAACTTAAAATTACCAGTCAAACTCTATAATTGGCCTATGCAAAGAATAGGAACAATATTACCAATACGTTTGTTAACAGAAATACATTTCTCTATCTATTTTTAATTGAAGACTAATTAATATATATCTGGTAGGCCTAATTATAGTCTATCTACAAAGTAATAATTAACTCAAATATTTTGAGATATTATTTTATATTGAGTTTATTATCTCGAACATGTAAATATCTTTTACGAATTGATGTTATAATTAAATAATAATAGTAATAATAAAGTTAACCGTTCTGGAGTCTGCGTAACAAGTGGTTGTTATTGACTATTTGACAAAATTCAGCTTTACGCAAAAAAGAACCCAAGAGTAAACTCAAACAATTTTAGGCCTAAATATGTTTTAGCCATTTATTTAATTACATGTTATTATGCAAATATTAAAGTGTACACGTGCGTTTATTATGCAAATATTAAAGTGTACATGTGCGTATAAAGTGAAGGCGTTTAGGTAACTAAACTGCGCAATAGATCACACAAATAAACATAGAGAATTGTAAATGGTTGTCATTAGTCGTGACGTCAGTTAGTAAAACAACCATCAACCGAGTCATGGCGCGACATACACAGAAATTAACTAGGCAGAACAAACAGGTAACGCTGTAACCCTTATAGAATTCTGACCACAGCGTTTATTATTCAAATTATATTTAAATAAATAACACTGATATGATTATTCTTCGCCGATGATGTAGAAATCTCATCGAAAGTAGTACATTATGACCGTATGGTGAGTCACTTTCTCAGAGCTCTTGTTTTGTGTGGGTAGGAAAAGATGGCATTTGCGTCGGAGCTATAATTCTAAAGCCTTTTATTATTTATACACAATTTATATAGGCCTAATATGATTGATCCTTGTGTACATCAGATGATTCTTGAATTTAGAACATCTGTGTCGAAGGTTATTATCATATTAATAAGGATTACAAAGATAATGATTAAATTGTTCCTACCATTGTTTTTACTATTTGTATCGTATTGTATATTATTGTATCGTTTTAGGTCTGCTTGTATGCTGTTTATTGTATTATAGCAAGACCATATTGTAAAACAGCGTTACCATCTCGTCTGTCTGTATATGCTCTCCTGTCTAAATATGTTTTAATAATAAATAAATAGCTAAATAAATAATGCATGAATGAATAAATTAATGATGAACAGAAATGATAGTAACAAAAATAAATGATGGTAGTTTACAAATTCAATCAAACACTCTTATTGCCACGAGCAGGAACACGTTTTTCTTTATTTACACGACGGACAACGATGACGTGTGAACGTAAATACGCATACAGTTCCTTTACTTTGCTGTGAAAGCTTAGCACGTTTGCGTTGTCATGGTTAAATATCAATTGCGATTAAAATTTGTACATCTATTAAATTGTTTTGTAAGTGGCATTCTCAGGGCATGCCTGGTCTTGTTTTGAGTATGAGTACGAGGCCGGCAGTAAATGTTGAAGGGGAGCGGATCCAATGGGCCAGCCCCACCCCAATTAGAGATAAATTAAACGGAGAAATAGGGGAGCCTACTCCAAAACAAAATAATTTTCGATTTAAATTCATGTACCAGTGTCTATATGGCCAAGCACTTCTAAACAAAAATCTCTAACATCGCTTCCCCTCCCTCGCTCGGCGTTTTGCACGTCCCGTGGCCCCTACCTACCCTGATTTTTCTCTGGATCCACCCCTGGTTGACACAATCTGTTCTGCGATGAGAATAGCCGATTTCTGTGGGCCGAGATTTTATTTATATCGAAGTGAAGAAATAATATTAGGATTTGGTTTAGTTTTATTGGTGAAAAACGTAACCTACAAAAGTCCGAAGAATAAACGAAGAAAAATCGTCTACGGTAGGCTTTGTAGGCCTAATTTTACCCCCTGGCGAACATTAGACCTATCACGTATTGTACGCGTTCCAGAGTGTCAACCAGAACGTGTTATTTAATAATCAGAATTACGAGTATGTCCCACAAACGCACGATTACGTATGTTTACGCTGTCAATGAGCAATATCAAAGGGGTGTGGCTTAGTGAACCAAATTTCGATCTGGAAATTGATAATCACAACTAGAAGTTTGTCATTCTCACAATAGAGCACTGTGCTCGAAAGCTAGTGTATAATGCCAAAGAAAACTAGTTATAAATTATTACAATTTTCACTCTTCCATTTACTTTATGGGACTAGTACGGCTCATCTGTTTTAACTAGGGCTTGGCTAGCTTACACGTTGAGTTTTGTTTATTTAATTCCATTAGTTTTTAAATATTTTTCTATATTTCACAGAAGGCGAGATGTACATGATGAAGAAAATCCTATAAACGACGGCGACGCGTATTCAGAAGACTCTGATAGTGACGGAGAATCAACACACAATATGGGCAAGGATTCTGGGTGCACCAATTGTGTCTCCGTCTTCAACATCTTATTGGGCTTAGCTATAGTCTCCCTGTGGGTTTATTGCTATGTTACGTGTTACACGGGGAAAGTAATCCTCATCAACTTCGCTGCAGGTGCCTGGGCAGGCGGCCTGGTAAGTAGCGTTCTATTCAATGAAACATACATTTATTTTAGAATAACTAGCAACTACAACAACAGTCAGTCCTGTTAAATTTCTTCTAAATACTGACGTTTTCTCATGGTCGTTGGTGCCCATTGACTACCTCAGGACACAATCATGTAGAATACGATATAAATATTTCCTTTCTTTTGTTACTCCAGGTGATAATAAGCGGCATAAGTACATTCATTTACAGTTGTGTTTGGAATAGTTGTATGGTAAGACATATTTCACATATTTCTTTATTTATCTTTTCATGGGATTCATAAAAATCCAGTGAACCGTCAAATCTATCCTGATACTGATAGTACAATGCACTCCTTGTATTAACTGCCGCTGTGAGTCACCATCCTCTAACAGGTCTATCCAGAAAGCATATCAATTTAGGCCCTATCTGTTTAAGCCCACTTTAGGCCACTGATAGCCTAGTAAGGCAAGACTTTATATACCTTGTTTTAGCGAACCCACCGCCCGCCAATAATGATTTCGAATAAAAATAATTTATTTTTGGCCAATTAGTGCACCTGCTGCCATGGGAAAAATCGAAATAAAAAAAAAAATTTCATTTATAGGCCTTATTTATTACGCCCGCCGCTGAGTTGAAATCTCAAAAAAATATATGTATAGGGGGGGGGGGGCTATTTCTTCCTAATTATAGCAATTTAAAGCATTTAACCATCCCATTACTGCACACTGTTTACATTCATCAGTAAAGTTATTATTTTATTTTCTCCTCCGTCTAATTGTTTTTAACAAAACTATTTGCTAAATAAGAAATGAAAATTAAATTTTTATTTTTTTCCACCTTCCTCTGATGGTCTTAAAAAAAAAAAAGATCGCGAAACAAGGTATAAAAAGCCGTCTAATGAACTGTTACAACAGTGAGTATGCTGCTCCGTGGTTACATCGAATTGTAGCTTGAAGGTTCAAAATGCTCGGTTTCTAAGATCGATGTTGTAAAATGATGGGTTCAAAACTTACAATGACCAGGACTCAACTTCCATCGATGAACCAGACATAGGGCCTATGTATTTAATCATTCTTCCATACCAAATTTTATTTATGATCAATTAAAAGCGGCCACTTCGACTTACTGTGAAACCCCTTTAGTGTTTACCCCCGATTCTATCTTACTATCTCAAACCTATCGCGTTGATACTCCATTAGGAATTAGTGATGCCCAGATGAGAAAAAAAGAGAAACAAACATAAACTATTCGATTTTTTTTTTTTTTTTTTTTTTTTTTTTAGGGAATATGCGCACTGTCCTTCAACATTTTCGTCATCGCTGGCGTATTAGCTTGCGCAGGTATATCTGGTATGGACTCTTTTATCGAGTATAGGATATACAAGGATAAAAATTATGAAGCGCCATCTATAGATGCATCATTTATAACAGACGCACTTAAAGATGCTCTTGACGATGGTGATATTAATGAAAAAGGATCGAATGATGACTTTGCCTACGATGGTGCTATCATTTACGGTCTCATCACATTGTGCTCTTTATTGGTGGCAATTCTCACTATCGCTTGGAGTTGTTACTTCTGCGTCGCAGACGACGATCTGGATGACGACGAAGAGTATCAGGTAGGATAGGATTTTCATTGGAGGATAAAACATATTACCTGTGTTGCGTTTCAATACTTCAATTGTTTAAAGTAAATTGGAATTAAAATAAATGGATTACAGGGCGGATTTGGGAGGGAGCGGGCTGTACAATAGGACCGTTGTAACTCTTATTAAAAGACAGATATTTTTTTCCAAGTGTTGTATATAAGTCCGATAAAATGTAATTAGAATAAACCCTCTTAAAAAAGTAATGAGGGATGTCTATATTGTTTGTTTGCTCAAGCAAGTGGACAAAAACAGAGCAAGTTGCAATGCACTACTGCACACACATAGAATACTATCGATAATTAGAAAGATCGCTTTCTATTTCTGTATAGGCCTACTTTGTGAATTCACTCTCTTTCAGGAGCATAGAGACTTGTATTACACAAATTAATTTGGATGAGATTAGATTTAACTGTATCTGAAACCCAATATTATAAGGAAAATACGTTGGTAAAGTCAGCTTTTGGAATAATGTCATGTTCAGTATCATCGTTTTGACATTATTGTATATTGATTTGTGATTGTTTTGTTATTATCTTAGAAAGTTTATGACCAACTTGTACTAAAACTCGTATTTCATTAACAGAGTGATGAGGATGAATATACAAGCAGACACCGCGATAACGTCAGTGTTCGTTCACCCTTCACATCAAATGTCCCTCGGGGTCAGATGGCCGAAAATTACGACTTTGGTAGGCGTGGCTTCAATTCACCTATGAACAAGGGACATCAACCATCTCGGCAATATCATCGACAAGAGCAACTAAATTGGGGATATTACGATGATTATAGTTTACAACCGTCGAGGCATGCAACAGCGTACACGAATGAAAGTTTTCAACCCCCATTGTATGAAGAGAATGACCCCTCAATCGCAATGAGTGATGGGGGCTGGAGAAACCGCGACAGGTACATAGACGGTGGCCTTCAGTACCATCAACGTGGACCGCCACCCTCAAGGCAGAAACCAAGAGGCAAACGAGATGTAACAACAATTTCAAACCCTGATTATAACCGGCAGACTGGTATTCCACGCGCTAGCTCTAGATACTACTCAGGGTCACTTCCGGACCGCAGGGAATTCGGGAGAAACCAGTACTCACGGGGACAAAGAGCTTATTCAAATGATGATCTAGCATATAATGGGCAACGAAGAGAAAACGAACATTCTTCACGAAGAGTCGATGTTAATCCGGATCGAAGTTGGATGTATAACTATTACTGATATCTTCCTGAAAGACAATAAAGCTTTATCCACGAAGTTTATGTGACACATTTGTGTGATGTGCCCATATATGGGCATGATGATTTTTGTCACATAAAATTTGATAATGTGGCTGATCTTAAGGCAAAGAATCAAATACAATAATCATTTACAAGCAGTATTCCCACCTTGATTTTTTTTATGTATAAACATACAGTATTTTGTTTCCACATAATATATTTTATAAATAAAATGCAGGTAAGAAAAGAATAGGTTTGAAAAACACTACTTGCAGTTGGTCTGTATTAAGTAAAATACTAAAATGCATTTATTAACATGCATCACTGTTTGGGTTACAATATTTTTCATTGATGTTGGTGAAGATATTTGTATTAGTACTGTATGTACAGGGACAGCCCCTGTTAAGTATAATGACTGGGCCATCTGCCTGTAGGTTCTACCATTCAAACAGTATCAGCATTTGCCCCTGTTCAGTATTTTGATTGCTGGATTTTTTCATTTATTTATTTCATAGCTTTTCATCTTAATCTTAGTAGTAGCTTTAGTTGTTATATAGCAACAAAGAAGAATTTGTAGGTAGGTTAGGTGGAGTGCAACGTCAAACACAGAGAAACAATATTTTATATCTTTAAAATGTTTTATACTAGACTAGTATTCAATACTAGCATATTCCTTTTTTCAGGCAGACAACTAAAACCAGTATGTAAAAGCATTAAATGCTGGCAGTGAAGGGATTACAACATAGTTGCAAATATGGTGTGGGGGGGGGGGGTTGTTAACAGTAGAGAAAGAACAGAGCCCCTGCAAAATTATTTTATACATAACCTTATTGAAAACTGCAATGATATGAAAAAAAAATATATACTCATTACATATCTTAGTTTAGATATATAATGGAAGAAAATGGGATGTTTTAACTTGTGGTGAAAGCCATCATTTAATGTCAATTTATTTAAATGCATACTAATTTTTTTACTGACACACAGAAAAATAAGAAGACTAGGAAATTACAGTTCAACGGTTTATTAAGAATTTTTGTTACAAATAGTTTAGATTCAGAATGCAAAGTTCAAGTTGAAGTATGAGTTTTTAACTACATATTCAACTGACTGCAACACAAATGTACAATTTTAACAACTTTAGAATAAAATGCAGAATGGTTTGCTTTGAAATGCTTAAATAAATTGTGAATTCTGACCGAAAGTATGTTCAAAATTCCAAATTTTACTGGCAGATTTCTTTGAGATAAATCACTTGCAGTGGCGGATCCAAGAATTCGAAATGGAGGGGCCCTGGGAGGGACTGAGATAAGAAAAAGTATGATTATGGCACTCTCAGACTTAAATTTGAATATAATTTTCTTTTTTTCTCCTTTTTCAAAAAATAATTTTGTAAAATTTAGGGCACCACTGACTGGCTATGCATACAATTAGTCTTTTCAAGATCGATATTTGTTTTCTTGTTGGGGTTAGATAAAATCTAGCCTGAACATTAATTGGAAATAGAGAGAATATTAGCTTCGCAGTCATTCCAGAATGAGCTTTATATACACACATACTTACTCCAGTAAGAATGATATTTGTGTAAAACTCATAAAATGTAGGAAACTATAAATGTTGCTCTTTCCATTTCCATTACTTAATTAGTTTGTTTTCTTTGACTAGAATTCCAATTTAACTTTTTTCTAAGCCTTGAACTGATGTATTCCATAGATAACAATCTCATAGTTTCAACTACCATAAATATGATCATAAGTTTGTTTTTAACCAAAGATTTCCAATCATCATTCGGACAATTGGTATACACCCTTGGTTTTTTTTTTTGTTTACAATGTTTTTCTCTCAAGGTATTATGTAATATGCAATAGATTTATGTAAGTACCACTTTTAATATGAAATATTACTGCTGTACTGGAAATAATCAAATAAATGTTGCGGCACTGTTAACTTTTTGGAGATTTCATGCAGTGCATATTTGAAAAGAAGCACTATTAGAGAATGGTGCTAAGTACAAAAAAAAATACAACACTTTACACATGTTTATGAAACACACTTGCCACAATTTTCTTCCACTGGGGCAGGAATGCTTTATGACTCTGTCTTGTTAAAATTTACCATGTCAGGTACAGGCAAATCTGACTTGTTATTTATTGTGTGAAAAATTGTTTTTAATGCTGTCCTGATGCTACAAAAATATCAAGAGAAGTTGGGTTATATGTACTTTCAATAAGCACCATGATGATTACTCAAGATAAAATATACCTCTAAGGGCCTGTGGTGCTTAATTAAGAGGATACTTATTTGATCATTTACAGTATGCATGTCTATGACCTCAAAAACAAAACAATCAGGAATTTATACAGATAATCTAGATTATCTGTATGTACAGTATTTTAGAATGAATTTATAAATTATTCCTTGTGTGGCTATATTTGCAGTTTATATTTGACCACACATGCACAAGTGAAACTATGAGATGAGTTAACTAGTGTAGTTTCTAAAACCTTTCTGTTTTTATCTATTTTTAATCTTATAAAATATTATTGCATTAGAGGTATTATACATAATGTAAGTAAACATTTCATGATTTTTAATAAAAAGAAAAAAAATATGGTAGTTATGTTGTTTACATAAGAGATGATCTGCAGAATGCACAATGGAGGCAAAGATCGAATGTTGATGGAAAGTAGAATGAGTTAGCAAAGTTCTCAAGTTTGAAGACCTAGTTAAATGAGCTTTCTTTGATTTGCGGGAAACTTGGGACCCCCCAGTTAGGCTAAGAAGTAGGCCCTACATATTAAGCAGATAGCTATTCACAGGTCTGACCTCTTCCTAAACTAAAAGGATATGCCCGTCCATCTGAAGTATTTTTTCCCATGATATATTGGTATAATAAACCAATACAGCTATGTTTCTAACCCCGAATCGGTTCCAAAGCATCTGCCAGCCGTTGTACTGCTGTTGTAACCATTTTTCCCAGGCTTGGATCATCTGACTTTATACTCTGTAAAGAAAGAATTCATGAAATCATTTCATCAGGTCAAACTAATATTGAAGTAATTTCACACGATCAATTTCAACTCGGCAATTTTATAAAATCAAAATCACATCAATTCCATTTCAATCATTACACAAGCTGTTTGGCAAGTCAAAACAGAGCAAATCGTTCTCAGGAAGACCAGCCAAGCTGGTAATTCCAAGTAAAAAAGTTTAATGCAAACAGGTAACTTGTTAAACCCTCAAAAGCAGCAGTATTGTGCATAAACAAAAATGTAATCGTGCATTTTGTGTGCTCAAAGTATGAATTGAGACTTACATAAGGACCACGATTAGTGTTTAACCACAGTCTTTGTAAGGAGTATTGCATATAAAAGTAAAATTGGTCCAATTTAATTCCATGTGAAAATAGCTTAAGCCACATTATGAGATTACTTTTAGTAGAGAACAGAAAAAAAAACATTAGTGAGCCTACTTTTAGTAGAGGACAAGCTGAAGCTAAAACAACTGCCAACCAATCAAACTTACCAGGGTATTGATGTTTATTGTGGCAATCTTTCCATCGATATCAACAACAATTTGTTTGTCATCGTCGTGCACACACTGATGACCGAACATATCACGCAGAAGCCTCAAAACGCGATCTGGGTTAATACCGGTTTGCTGCTTCATTGGTGTCATACTTCCTAGAAGGAACAATATTAAAAAACGAAATACAAATTAAATTTAAAGACAAGTAATTTAAAAACATTCCTTGCAAAATTCGATTTTTAGTTATTAGTACAAGGTTAAACAATAAAAAGAGCTATAAAATCGTATATCATTTAAATCCAACATTTCATTATGAAGTTACATGAGTTTAAACATACAGCTGTTTAAGGAACAATAAATGAGAAATCAGCCTTCAAAGTTTACGATTTTAGGAATTTCTTAGGCAGAAACCATCAACAAATCCTTATAAGTTAGTTTAGTGCAATAAAATAGATTTTAAAAAGAAACATGTTTGCGACAAGTGACAGGCTTGGTTTGTCTTTGCCACATATAGTGTAAATTTGATTAATTTACTTCTTTATTACATCCAACAGTGTAAAACACCGGTAACAGGCTTGAAATTAAATATTAAATAGAACATAGTACAGTATCTAAATTTAAAATGTAAAACAATTATATAAAAGCAATATTAAGAAAGAATAACAATAAATATCAATAAAAACAATATAAGAACAATGATTTACTTAAAAGAAACAAATAAAGAATTAACATCCAATGAAAGGCAGATCAAAATAATTCCTTTTTCATTCCTAAATTGATCATCAGCCAATTTTAGGGAACTTAATAATATCTACTTCACACATAAGAATGTTAAGAGAACGTTTAGAAACCTTTCTTCTCCTGAATATCTCCGGCTACCCGCACAATAACACTCATGACAGCATCTGCGTACATATCATTAACAGTGTTTGCCTTCCACTATAATAAAGAAAGAGAAAAATGCAATATCAAGTGTAATCAAAGGGTTGGAAATTAAGAACCACAAAATCAATGTGTAAAACTCTGTTCACACAACCTAGTTTTATGTGTCAAATAAGTGTGATTTTTAAAATAAAAAAAACAAGGGAAAAATGGGCATAACTACCTTTTTTTTTTCATTTTCCAAGTTTTTAAATATTACAAAAATCTGTATCTCATTAACTGTTCCCGGATTTTTCATCAAATATGCTTTTTGTGTCTTAGAATAATCAGTTGTACAACATATAAAAACATTTTTTCCTCCAGGGCCTCACTTTACTATCATTTCACACATTAGGTTTTAATACAAGGCTTAAAAATATTGTTATAACAGATTTCAAATCCTGGGACTGTAAAGCAAACATCTTAACCCCCAAACTACAGTACAAACCTAAATGCACTGGAGTTGACAATATTGGTTTATATTTAGCCAAAGAATTCCGTAAACATACCTCTAGCGTAACCATCTTATGTGCGGGTTCATGAATAATTTTGATAGCACCAAATATCCTAAGGCCAGGCTTATCAATGGCATCAATATATTGTAAGTCGCTTGAGAGTTGAGCCAGATAGTGTGTTAGAACGGACAATGGTGCATTGTAGGATATGCTTTGCCGTTGGGTCACTGTACTTACAGCCAAGTCAGTGTAATCTGTTAAAAATATAAATAAAACTTATTGCACAAACTGGTATTGTAAAAATAAAATGTAGATAGGGGTAGCAGAGCACAATTCATCAGTGTTGAAGTTGACTCTACAACCTGAAGAGATTTATCACGATACATCAGCATATTTGATTGAGTACTTCAACAAGTACTATGAGAAATAATATTTTATTGCTCGATATAAAAGTATTTCTTTAAGATAACCGTCTAATCAATTAAGCCACCTGACCACTAATTACCTACCATTTACCAAATTTACCAAGTGTGTGTTATGTTATTGTTAGGCTTAATTTTTTTTTTTATCTCTGTCATTTGGTGGTGAGAATTCCGTATCAGAATAACACAAGTTGTTTTGGATTTGTTCTGTTTAACAGAGAATGGCCTGTATTGCTTTGATAGTGAATATTGCAAAACTTTGTTACACAGTTCACTAACCAATTTGAATATATACGGAATAATGCATAAATACAAGCTGCCAGTCAAATACAATTAAATCAATACAAAGCCAAGCGATTCTTACTATTGATAAAAAATTTTGCATAGTGTGTACACATTAACATGGAGGTTATCTTTGAATCTTATCAGACTGATGTCAAAATAGATTAAACTCAAATTGTTTCTTTGATAGCTTTACAATACTATTGCAAAATCAGCTGTTAAATAATGGCATGGACTTTTTGTCACATGACTAAGTCAAGTTGTGCTATTTTATAATCTCACCTGATAAGTCTGAGGGCGCTATAATATGGTAGTTGAAGTTGCGCTTTAGGAGGATGCCAGATAATTGTCCCCCGTCACTCCCCTTCTCCTTAGCTAAGGTTCCCATGACCTAAAAAATAATAAAATTAGCTTATTAATTAGCTAACCTTTATTTTTGGTCAAAATTAATGCAAAGTGAACACTGCTTAACTAATACCCTATTCAGACTACACTCCCTTGTGATCAACTGCTATGTAGTCGGTGGTTATCCAAAACTGAAAAGTGCATTCAAACCAAATCAGACATATATATTGAAACAGTAGGTCAAACAGTACTAGTCCTCTGGTGGCTAGGTCTGTATGTTGACTGAAATCAGCCAAACAGTGCCTGTGGAATATGTTGCGATCGGATTCCATGGTAATTGGGAGTAATGAAGATTGTAATACCTAACTGCAACATGTAACAATTGCGATACCGATTACATATCACTATTGGTGAGCTTTCACACATGATTGTGAATTACGATTGTGTGTCACAATTACTACAACCGATCGCAAAGTGATTCTAGTATGAATAGGTTGTATGTGCTATGAAATCTGACCTTTGCTATTTTTTCTCCTCTGAAGTGAAGTTCAACTGCCTGCGTTGTCTTTGGGTTGTGAACCTGTATATGGTAGTCTGTGCTGTCTTCGTATTCACGTACGATAGCAGACTTCAAACGTTTCATCTCGTTTGCCTCCCCATGCACAAGGATCTGAAACACAAAATTTCAAGTTAATGTGCATTCTATCACTGTCAATTGTAACCACGATACTGTGTTTAAGACAGTAATTTGATTCATAGGTTCTTACTCACCACGTGAGGGGGCTCTAACGTGCGAATAAACTCGCTGACCTGTTGGTAGTCAGCATGGGCAGAGAACGAAATATAGTCAACCTGCATGTTGAGTGGCACCTTCTGGCCTGACATTGTTGTAACTTCTTCTGGAGAGGACATAATGGTCTACAAAAAAATTAAGATTTATCACGACATAACCGAAGACAAAAAAAGTTGTTTCCCTATTTTATAACCTCCATATAAAATTTAGTAAGTGGTTGCTCTGTCCATTTTGTAGTAGTACATGGTATATGCAGTCATGCATAGCCTACACCAAACTTTGAAGTTGGAGCATATCACATCTTAACCCTCTAGATACCGTCTTCGACTGTAGTCGAAATTGACCACAAACCGAGAATTCCCATTTTCGACTGCAATCGAAATTTCGTGACTAAAAAATAGGTGGTTTTCAAATCGCTCCTGTTTTTATTTTAGCTCCAATACGTCAGAAATTTTGAACACGCATGCGTGAAGCTGTGAAGAACTCACATGCGCTTATATAAATATTTTTAGAAATATCAATTTGAAATCGTTATTAATTTCAAAAATTTTTCGAAATGGCCGCACAAGATGTGTACACAGCTGAGCAAGCGATTGACCTGATTTTTGATTCAGACAGCGATGAAGGTGAATTTCTGGATGTGCGAGACTTAGACGTTCCTGTTAGCGATGATGACGGTGGGGCTTCAAGCAGTTCTGAGGGCGGAGATATTCTTGATGAAGATGAGCCTAGGCCTAGAAATGTGAGGGTAGTCGACGCTTTTGAATGAAAAGATCGCACTTATAGTTATGGATGGTTGGGTAAATAAATTATATAACTGTGTGGAATAGGAATGTTTTATATTTGTTTTTATTTTTTTTGGGCTACAATTTATTTTTTTTTTCGGTTTTTGCTGACGATTTATATGTAGCATTTTTCTGTCATTTCTATTATAT